GGTAGAATTCTATCGGTTAACTCATGATAAATTCATCCGGTTAGTGTTATCAGGCACTAACCGAGCATTGTAAGAATGGCCCTAAGTATGCATACCAACTTTTACTTTGAAACTATARGTTTAATGTCTTTTATTACCCATTGTCGCATTGATATTTGAAATGTATTATTTACTCAAAATYAATAAATGAAAAATATTGTTTTCTAAAATTTGCCTCAAAAATGTATATTGTATAAGTTATAAACATTTATCAAAACTTCCTATCAACCTTAAAGTGCCCACATTATCTAAAAAAATTTGAAATAATAATAGAATATTAACTTTGTTACTTTCTTGTACTTTTGCCATACATCAGGACTTGTGCAATTGAACAATGAACATACATGGAAAGTATAGAATGGTATGCACACTTTTTCAATAATTATACAACCAATACATTCATATTTTACTGAGTATTTCACTTAGCTTGTAAAAACTGAYATTTATAGTTATATTATGATAAAAATATAAATAAATGTTATTATTTGTAATTATTACTAATTATTTTATTTTAATGTTTGTAATTTTGAAACTTTTTTCCTACAATATTGTTGGTCTTAATTCATAATATCAATAATTATTTGATAAAACACACAAATTGTCAATTTTTATATTCATTCCATTATTTTATCTGGTTAAACATACAATTAATTGTTTTGAAATCTTAATATTCTATAATAATATCTGAAAAGTATTTAGAGACTGATTGCATTATACATTGTAGACTATAGAACACTTTGTTAAGTTAATTTTTATAAAACTATTTAAGCAGTCAATTAAAATCATATTTTTGGGAAAAATATAAGTATATATATAATATAAATATAATTTTAATGAGATGTACAATCATTTAATATATTATGCTATTGTTGATAATTAACTACAAKTTATAATTATAGAAATAGTAATAATTCAAAAAAAATGTAGTATAAAGTAATTTAGGGGAGTTGAAATAAATTTACCAGTGCACATTATACAGCGATAAATATTAAGTTGAGCGATGTCCATTCAATTGCATAGTGATGTATTCGAGACGCATACGCTGTTCACGAATCTCCGTACCTATAAAAAAAAAAGGAATTTAAATCAATTGCAAATATTCAAATAATATTTATCATACGGCATTACTTAATTGTTTTTCCTCAGCTCGGATTGTTGATAAATTTTTGTATGCCAATTGAAATTTTTCAGGCATCAGTGCCATCTTTCTTTGAATAAAGTTGCTCATATTTAAACAGTGCGTATAACTGACCACCACAACTCGACATGCTGGACAATAATTGTATCTCTCTAATGATTTGTCAATGCACCATTCACAAAACATATGTGAGCAACTAAGCAATGATGGCTAAATTAAAGTAAAACAAAAGAATTAAAGTAATAAGTTATTTTATTAAAACAATGCGGTTCTCTAAGATTAATTATATTTTTAATTATATCATTAATGAGTATATTATATTTTCTGAACAATTATGAAAATTTTACCTTTATGAATACTCCATAACAAATAATGCATTGGCAATCCTCATCTTCTAACAACTCCTTATTAAATTTCTCAGTAAGCGTAGAATTCTTATACTTTTCCTCTTTCAACTGTTTGGTCAGTAAATTCATTGTTGAATGAAGAGCCTCAAATTTTCTGCTCAGTTGAATATTGTCCATTTTGACTGTTCTTAAAGCTATTAACAAAAGCAATATAATATATTTAATATACAATTTTAGGTGCTCATTGATATMATGTTTTAATTATTTTTTTAATTAATTTTGTTTTGTTTAATGTACTTGATCTTAGTTTTTTATTCTGATCAATGATCTTATCAGCTGTAGACGGCCTGAAAAATAAATTATACAAATCAAAAATAAATWATAAATATTATAACTATTATTTAATTTTGTCAAAACCTACTTGTTTGTGGGCTTGGTAGTGGTCTTAATCTTGGACTCCATAGCGGGTGTCTTCTGAACTTGTTGACAGGAGGTATTTGAGGTATCTCCAAAATCTAGTAAAGAGTATTTGTCAAAATACCTAATTGATTGTATAATTATTAATTATTTTATTTATAAATGTTAAAATATTTGAAAATGTATAGAATTCTATTAATTCATTATATAATAATATGTAGTTAATTTATAGAATTATAATATTTATTTTACAAACATTCATTAAACATTTTAATATTTCAGAAATGTCAATATTTAATATCTAATATTAAATACCATATTCTGTCTCAAAATAGAATACACAAGTTTCGCGTG